CAGAAGATTCAGAACCTGCCCAGCATCCTGTACCTGCTGCAGAAGATTCAGAAGCTGCTCAGCATTCTGTACATGATACAGAAGATTCAGAAGCTGCTCAGCAAAATGCAGCCCATCCAGAACCTGCAGTCATCACCAGCCCAGAACCTGCAGTCATCGCCAACCCAGAGCCTGCATTCATTGCTAGCCCAGAGCCTACAGTCATCACCAGCCCAAAGCTTGGAGCTCAACCAGAATCTGCAGCTCAACCTGAACCTGCAGGCTGTCCAGAGACGGCAGCCAGCTCAGAAACTGTGGAGGGTCCAACGCCTCTGCTTGAGGGTTCCAAAACTGCTGAGGGGTCTTTGCCTCAGTTTGGGGGCCCTGAAACTGCTGAGGGGTCCTTGCCTCAGCCGGAGGTCTTTGTCCCTGACTCGCCTGTGTTCTTGGTCCTTGACCCACCTATGACATCCGTACCTGACCTGCTCAGCCCGTTGGATGGCTTCCACGCCGTCCATCTGAACGTTGGTCCTGCACTGGACAGCCTCCCGGCTGGCCCCCTAACCTGCTCTGGCCCGTCGGACGGCCTCCTGGCCGCACCTCCAACCTGCTCTGGCTTGTCGGATGGCCTCCCGGCCACCCACCTGATCTGCTCTGAGCCAGTGGATGGTCTCCCGGCCGTCTGGTCATTTTTGTGTTCCCTGCTTAGTTTTGTCCCCGAGGCCTTGTCCTGTCGGTTTTGTTTTGGTCCTCGTGAGTCTTTGTTTGGGCCCGCCACCCTTGTAGTTCCTCCCTCCGCCCGCCCTAGTTTTCTATGGAGGGGGTGGGGTCTTGGGGATGCCAGGGGGCGTCCTTGGGGGGGTACTGTAGGTATGGCGCCATCTAGTGGGCATTCCCCTGTCTGTACACCCTTGTGTTTTTGCTTTGATTGTCTGATTAACATCACCCATGTCTCATGTCCTGTTTGTGTGTATAAAGTCCATCTGTTAGTCCTGTCAGTTGTCGGTTCGTCGTTGGGTATTGCCTGTCCTGTCCAGTCCAGTCCAGTCTAATCTAGTCTGATCCTGTTTTGATCTCGTCCTGACCCTATTTTGTAAGTTTGCTGCCATGTCAGCCTTTTGATTTATTATTAAAGCGTTTTATTTTATATGTCTGCCTCCTGAGTCCTGCCTGCTCACCTGGGTTCTCTCCTGCCCTGACCTGCCTGAAACCCTGACAACATCAGGATGTGGAGAAGCATGGTTGCAGTGGTTCCAATGTTTCATAACTCTGGGCCTGCAAGTTATATGGAACAATTTTCATATTTGTAAATGAAAGTAAAGGAGTAGGAATGGCTTACTGGATAATTTATAGGGGGCACTAATTATTTATTTTATCACATAATGTGTGTTTACTTCAGTTGTGGACAAAGTTCATGTCTGGGCATATTGTTGCAAATTAAATACATTAACAGTAATTAATATAAATGAATATGTGTAATTTATATAAATGTTTATTGTTTATTGTTAATTTGTGCCCCCCCCACACACACACACACACACACACACTCACACACACGCGCACACATTCCAGATACTTCGACACCAATGGATATGTGTATGTGTTGGCATGATTTGGTCATCAAGGATCGAAAATGATGAAGCCATACTGACTTCATGCTTAGACTACAACCAGGATCAGAGATTACGAAAACAACCTAGCCCAGACGTGAGGTTGTTGTAAACTAGTGTAGATTCTGTCATCCAGGGACTGGAAAATCTGCTCATCTTTGTGGTACATAACTGAGCTTCTCATGTAGTTTTAAAAGCCTGAAATTCCATCCTCTCCATTTATGAACGTAGAAAGCCTCAAGGATGGGAAGAAAAATGCCTTCAACTCCAGAACAGAAGTCCAGTTGTTTAGGTTCTAATTTATTGTTTGGGTTGTACGTTGGACTAACATAGTCAGATCATGGGTGTATATGTCCATATTGTCATGAGAACAAGCTGCTGCTATATGAGGGCATGTGAGGGCACAGGTAAACGCCAACAATACATAAAATAGCAGAAAAAACTACTTTGTGTGTACTAGTAGCAACACCATGAGTGCTGTCACACTTTCAGTTTTCCAAATTTGCATCAATTCAGCCACATGTCAAGGTCTTCAGGTCGTGTAAGTCATGGAGAAAATTGTGGGGTCGCCATCGTGACTAAAAGGTTCTTTATCATACATCTCAAATGTTACCTAAGGATTAGATTTTTGTTTTTAATTATGAGTTTGAATCACCTGTTAGCTTTATGACTAACCAAGCTCATTAACATTTATAGTATGTGGTACAAAACGTCAATCATCCCCTCACCTCGCCTCTGTGGTTCTTGATGGGCAGACAAAGGATACTGTGAGTTTTGTAACCTGTGATCTGGTCAACTTCTGCATTAAACCTGGTATCCTGGGGAAACAAAGCAAACACACACATAATCCAGTTAAAAAAATTGTTACTACTTGTTTCGCAGAACAACATGATGCAATTTTACAATAAAGTCACAAAAATGTACTATTATTGAGGGGTGCAAGATGGCTGTGATTCAGTAAGCTGCATTCTGCCAGGCTCCCGTCGGCCCTGATTGAAAAATTGCCTTTTATAAATACTGTATATTCTCGCTGCCTCTGTGTTGAATTCTTCGTCTGAGATTGGCATTTTCGCAGGAATGATTTACTGGAGCTGTAATATGGCCTCTAAACAAAAAAAAACTAAAACGGCAGGGTCTTTGCCCGCTCAGCTTGATGACACAGCTGCAGCCTCGGGGCATGGTGATGCCGAAGCATTACGACCGATACATAATTAAAAAGTCTATTAAACAATAACAGTCTGCACCACTTTCGCCAGGCTCTGGAAAGACAGTCGAGTCAGCACTGAATTCAGACATTCTGGCTTCAATTAAATCTGGTCACAGCAATAATTAGGATGGAGATGAAGGCATCTCTGAATGGATTATTTAATTTTTATCAAGTGCAAATTGCAGGCAGTGAGAGCAGAGCTTGTTAATAACACCACGGCCCTCAGAGCAGAGTTTGACCAAGTCAAGCTAAGTGTAACAGAGGCTGAAAATGGGCTGTCTTTATGCTCAGATAAAGTTGGGGCTCTACGTGGAACTGTGGTGGAATTGAAAAATGAAGTGGATGGGCTGAGAAAAAGGCTTGAATCTGTGGAAGGGAATATGAAACAGAACAATATTAGGATTATTGGAGTTCCTCAATCGCCGAGATTGTGCACCCCTACAGTGATAGCCAAGACAGAGGTGCTGAAGGTGGACAAGTTGCCGCTGATCAACCACGTGCACTGGACACCAGGCAGAAGAGACGCTGATGATCAACCTTTATTTAGACAGGTAAATCCCATTGAGCCTCGAGGACTCATTCACAAGAGAGACCTGATTTCAACAAAGAAAGATGACATTAATGGACAACAGCAACAACAATAAACAATTACAGCTAGATTCCAAGGCAAATGTAGAAAACTAAAAACAGGAACATGTCTGCATTGGTCCCTGCCAGGAGTCCAACAGATTCTTAAAGCCACTTAGAGAGGTCAAGGTCGAGAGCTTCAAATCTTTTTGTAGGATATTCCAGGAAACAGGAGCAGAGTAGGAGAAGGCCCTTTTGCCTAGTTCAGTCCTCATTGAGGGAACTTTGCAGGTAATAATGTCCTGAGAGGCAGCACGGTGGCGCAACTGGTAGAGCTGCTGCCTCTCAGCGAGCAGGTCCCTGGTTCAAACCCCGGTCCAGGGGCCTTTCTGGGTGGAGTTTGCATGTTCTCTCCGTGCATGCGTGGGTTTTCTCCAGGTACTCCGGTTTCCTCCCACAGTCCAAAAACATGCATGTTAGGCTGATTGGTAACTAAATTGTCCCTAGGTGTGCGTGAGAGAGTGAATGGTTGTTTGTCTCGTTTGTCTCTATGTGGCCCTGTGATGGACTTGCGACCCGTCCAGGGTGTACCCTGCCCCTCGCACAGTGATTGCTGGACATGGGCACCAGTGACCCCGGTGACCCAAAATGGAATAAACGGGTAAAGAAAATGGATGGATGGATGGAATGTCCTGAGAGCGCACTCCGTAGCTGCACTCACGCAGAGACATGTAGGAGGAGATGTATGAAGGCAACAGACCAAGAAGTGATTTAAAGATGAAAATGAACCAATGAGAGAGTCTGCGTGAAGTTAATGATGTCCAGTTAACCAGTGAATACAGGGTGCAGTGATGTGTACGATAATCACAGCAAGTTATGAATCTTAGTGCACCATGATAGACAGCATCCAACATCCGCAGGATGCTTGTAGGAGTGTTCATATAAATAATGTCACCGTAATCAATGGAGGGAAGGAAAGTCACAGATACAAGGCATTTTCTAGCATTCAGGGTTAGACAGGATTTGTTTCTGAAAAAGAAACCCAGTTTAACTTTGTTTCCTTACCAAGTTTTCCACATGGAGCTTAAAAGAGAGATGTGAGTCGACCAAGATACCCATATATTTATAGGAATCAACAAACTCAATGGGGACACCATTTGAGGATAAAATCGGTGGAAGAACTGCTGGGACCAACTTCCTATTTGAAAAAAAGCATCCCTTTGGTTTTGTCGGCATTTAGGACAAGTTTGAGGCGGAACAAATCTGTCTGAATGTAGTTGAATGCAGATTTCAAAAGCTGGAAAGCCTTAGCAACAGTTTTAGCTCAACAATAAACAACTGTGTCATCAGCATAGAAATGTATAGATGCATTAGGGATGTTTTTACCTACATTATGTATGTAAATTGTAAAGAGGGTGGGTCCTAAGACTGAGCCTTGTGGTACACCATTGTTGACTGTTAAATAACTGGAGGAAGAGCCATTATGTTGAACACATTACCTCCGGTCTGAACGATAGTTAGAGAACCAACCAATGGTGTGTTCTGGGAAACCAATTTCTGAGAGTTTATGACACAAGATGTTATGATCCACAGTGTCAAAAGCTTTAGACATGTCTAAGAAAAGTGCAGCACAATAATGATAAATCATGAGTTATCATCGCCAGGCTGCATTATTATCAAGATTGTGTGGAGAAATTACGAGCACGCAACTGTGGCCCTATCCACTTCAAGAAATCATCCACAGCTGACTACACCGCAAGCATGGCAAAGGCATGAGCAGCATTCACAGAGTAAGGCGACTCCTGTGAAACTGACCAGGTGTCCGGTATGGACTCCTTTTTCCTGCATGGCTTTGCATCACACATGGAGGGACAGAAAAGGGGTTTGTCGACTCCAATAATGATATGGAATACGTCAAGAGGAATGTCATTTCAGAAGCAGGTGGTGAGGATCAAAAGAACCAAAGGACCGGCCTCCCTCAACCAACATTTTATCTTAAGCTTGTGTGACTCAATATTTGGCTGTTAGGTCCTTTAATGTCAGTGTGTACAACATTTTATTTGTACTGAAGGGTGACTGTACCATGTTAACGCTCTGAATTTATTACTGAAAGTTCTGGTATGTACTGTAGTATGCACCCTAATATGGGAGCGTTTTTATTAATTAATTAATTAATTAATTAATTAATTTGTTTATTAGGTACATGTTTGATATTTACAGTAATATTTGCATATTTTGTTGTTTCTCTTTATGATTTTTAATTATTATTAATCATGTCATATGTGGGCAGACGGAAACCCAAATAGTCGGACTGTGTTCTGCAGGGTAAGCACTAATGTGTGGATTTTCAGTTGACAGTGGTTTTTGTTCTCTCCATGTTTGGGTAGGAGAGAGGGGTGAGTTTATACCGGATCAGTCTTGGTTTTTTTTCTATCAAATTTTGGTTTGTGATATTTTATGTGTAAATTATTTCTTGCTGTTCAACTATGACCACCGTTAAAGATGTTAGCCACTCTAGTGACTGACCAGTTAATTGTGTAAACTGGAATGTGAAATAATTTAATGGTCCAGTAAAATTCCAGAAAATTATGTCACACCTGAAGTAGATGATCACTGATAACGCCTTTTTATAGGAGATCCATGTGCATTCTGCAGACAGTGGAAAGTTTGTTAAAAAATGCTCTGGTCAGGTGTTTCAATCCAATTTTCAATCCAAATCAAGCGTGGTAGCTATTATAGTTGGCAAGCAGGTACAATTTTCAGCCTCGAGTGTGTTGTTACTGCCGGTGTCAGGGGAATTTAGGTAAACGTTATGAATGTTAATCAGTAAACGTAACTGATGTTAATCTAATGTTTGTGAGTTAAGAGGATTGCTTTGTCTGCCTGCAGACTCCTCTCTGAGCACGGAGCCTGCCTCTCTGATAAACTCCAAGGCCTCTTCCTCCATTGTCTGTAAGCTAGAAAGCAGAGATCTTCTGGACCTTGTCTCTGTCTGATTAGCATTATAAAAAGCACTTCGTTATACTGTCCGTGGGTAGACCTCACGACCAGAACTTCAATGTAAAATCTGTGTAAGCCTGTGTTTGAACTCTGCCCCCTTGCACGTAAACTGGGTTGAAAAAGCTTCTTGTGTTCTTAGAGTGGCTTATTTGATGAAAGGATATTTATTTTACCCAACAGCTGGGCGGTATGTTATAGTGGTGGGGAAGTTATACACACTGCTAGTGATCTTGGTTTTGGTATATGCTCCCAACTGGGACGACTTTACATTTTTTAATAACCTCTTCTCAAACTTACCAAATATGTCAACACATAACCTTATAATTGATGGTGACATAAATTGTGTGCTTTCATCTCTTGGCCGTAGTTTGATGGGAAAAACTACCCTGACTAACAACAAAGTCCATGCTCAATAATCCAGGTATAAAATCCAACATTTTTCAGTCAGGTCATCTGGACAGTTTCTTTTTTTGTGCTGAAACATTTCGTCTTCGATCCGGAAGGCTTCATCAGTCAAGGAAACACACAACAAAACTGATTCTTCCCCGAACAGCTTACTCCAAAGTGGAACAAACCAGTTCTGCTTGTGATAAGACGGTCTCTTTGGTACGCCCCTCCTCCATTGCCTGCCCTCTTCCTCGTTGACAGTCTTGTCAAACTGGTTGAAAACAATAAAGTCCATGCTCAATAATCCAGGTATAAAATCCAACATTTTTCAGTCAGGTCATCTGGACAGTTTCTTTCTTACCCTGACTAAGTCCGCTCAATCAATCAGTTAATTCCTTGAATCTTATGGCATGGCTGATGTGTGGTGCTTCCGTAATCCTACTTCAAGATCATGCTCGTTTCACCCCCCCCCCCCCCCCCCAGTTCATAAGACGTATTCCTAAATTGACAATTTTTTCTTGATGTACAAACTCTGCCTTTGGTAAAATAATGTGACTATGGGTCTATAGCCATCTCGGACCATGTTTCACTTATTATGCAACTGCTTATCTTTTAATGCTAATCTACACATTTCTAGATGTCAGTCATCTCGAGCTA